AGAGGGTAAAGAGTAGCTAGATAGACAATGACAGAAAGAGGAGTGATAGTGTAACCGTTTCCAGCAGAACTGTTGTCGAGGCTTGACGAGTTCGTATCTTGGGGATGATGCCGACTACGAGGCCAGAGAAACGTTTGAGAATGTATCAAGTCCACTATTAGATTCTGGGAGTCATGACAACTACTATGGCAGACGACTTCGGACTCGGTGCTTCATACATAGTTGCCCTGACAACAAGACCAAGTTGCGACAACCAGGTCAACCCACTTCTATAAGTCGAAAGGAGACTGCGACCATACCCGAGGCCACAACATCTTGATCTTCATACGCTCTGGGCAAGTTGATGCTGCGAGTGTGCAGTGGGCAGTGGGCAGTGGGCATCAAGCGCTCGTCGGCTTCTACCCCCTCCTCGGACTGGCCTACCTCGCGCTGCCCCAGCCCCCGTCGGCCGAAGCCGAGAGGTACATACGCTCGAGAGGAAATTGGTCTTTCTGCTCGGAGAACTTGACGACAAAATGAAGAGGTTCGACGCTGCCGATCTGATCCAGCAACTTTTGGCGCACACCTTTTACTAGAACGCTTATTCGACCTCCCTTTTGTCTTGGTACCATTTACGTTATCGGGACACTCAAGTTTGGTTCAGCCTACAGACAGGCCCTCCATTTTACTGCGTCGTCATTTGGCCAATTGCGTGCAATTAATAATTGAAACATGCATTAAAGCAAGACTTATCGTTTTCGGTAGCTGGCCAGTCTAGTGAGCATTCCTTCGCATTGCACTTGCTCTCAAATCGTGGCCACCAATTTCCATCACACTCCACTTTCCCACCTCACCCGACACCCTTTTGCAAATGTCAATACACGAAATCTCTTCTTGACTTATCCCTCCAACCCTTTCATTTGCCTCGGTCGTGCCAACTGTACGTTGCTGTGACACACAGCCCGAATGATTCAACGCAAATTGTGCATATTTTTCGCATTTTCCAAACGCAAAAAGAAATTACGTGATTATTCTCAATTTGCACTCAAAGAAATGAGCCACACATTGCGGCTTAATTCCACACCTGCCCCTCTTCGCACCCACACAAATAAATATATGCACAAACAACAACACGATGATGATGATGATGATGATGATGATGATGGCCATTTGGACTTGTTGTGTGTGGCCCTGTTGACTCCTAAAACTGTTCCGGGACAAAAGCCTGACCTTGAAATCCAATTCGTCCGACAAGTCTAATGGTTGGTGTTCAGATTTGCAGACACGGTTTGCAAGTTCCCTTCCAGAAAGCTCCCAAAAAGCTCTCCAGCAGTAGAGCATAAAGCGCGCTTCTGTCCAGAACCACATTCCGCTTATATACGCGAGAAAATTGCTTGTAGACTGCGTAACACCATTGCATTGCCCTTCAAAAGACCTGCTGTACCAGGCTGAAAATTGCCGTCAGCAGCGCTATTTATTTTGAATATAAGTAGGCAATTCTCCGAATAAAAACTTTGGTCAGCTTACTTCCATTTCGAGCAAAAGTGTTTGGTGAAAAGATTCGAAGGCCGACCTCTCCGGAAGACGACGGCAGATTCCTCTTGACCAACTACTGAAAAATGTCGGCTGATGCTGTTTCTGAGGCAATCTTATTCGATTCCGGCGAAAAGGTGAAAAGCTTTCGTCCGTCGTATGACGGACATTATTAGAGCAGAGCATCCTTCTGCAACCACATACAAGCTAACAAGTAAATAAAACCCACCGGCTCATCCTTAAATGCCGTATATATACCACAATTCTAAGCTCTTTGATGAGATATAAAACGATTTGGTTAGTTTAAGTCATATGCCAACCTTGAAGCGTGTGAGTGTGTATGTCTGTTTGCACTAAGGTTCCTTCATGATTTCGTATATGTCGAAACCAGCAGTGATGGCTCAAAGTAATTAGAAAATAAAAGCAAAACCATCTCCCCCCTCGTTATTTATATGCTAATCATCACTTCGTCATATTCTGATGAGATCAAGCTTCGAATCGCTTCACCAAACACTTTCACTCTAAATGAAAGTAAACTCAACCATTGCCAAACAACAAATTCCTCGAAATCAAACTATCCTTTGCAAGAAAAACTTTGGCTGCCACCGTCGCTTAAGGTGAGTTAGAAGATGGCTAAATGAAATTCCTTTCACCCTATTTCAGGCCTATCACATCACCTTAAGCAACCTAGGCTGACTTAGTTCCCATTCAATCTATTGATACCGAAAACGTGCATCTTTTCAGTTACACTCGAATACACTACTTACACTCTTCGTGAGTAGGTGTAGAACATTTCGGCAGATGTCAAATAAGAATTACCATTACACTAGATGTATCCATCCTAGTTCATTTAAAACAAGGAAGGACTGGTAGTTCAATTTTCCCACAATTATATGAGTAAAGCTGACGTCTCAAATCAATTTTACATAGCCTTGTCTTTGCCAAAGTTGTTCTCATCCAGGCAGAGGTGGACTACAGTTTCGCCCTAGCCTAGGCCTTACCAACACTCCCAGTGGGATTCGAACCATGATGAGGTAGCGTGTAATCTGGACACGTTGCCCACTCGGCCACATTTCCACGAGTGCCCTTGGGTCAGAGGGTAGATGTACATTTCAACGAAGGCCAGACACTTTCTCATGTAGCATTCTTTTGTGGGATTGCTGATAAAGCAAACTTATGTTTGCCATGGCAATCGTCTAGATTACTTATTTTTCGTTTTTATATACGAGATTTAATCACTCTATTTCATTTGAGCTGATGATGAATAGAGTTGACACTTTTATTCAATTTCTATGCGAAAGTCAACTTATGTGATTGTGGAGAAATTCGACTATCAGTCGTTCTTCACCTTAAGCCAAAGAGACTGAATACATCTCATATAACTGATTTACTGGTAGCCTCGAAACCTTACTTATACAAAAATAATTTTAATTGTCTGAGGGCATTGCTAATTGACTTGCCCACATTGAAAGGGGTAGGTCTCACGAAACCATTTCAGTTTAATTAGAGCCTTTTGTCCAGACTGATAAAGCATTGTCCCTTCAGAAATGGTTTAATTTTTACGGAAATTTGGGTTTCGAGGAATCTCTTGTTTCATAATTGTTGAGCTTACTTACATTTCGAGTGAAATTGTGCATTGAAGAGATTCGAAGGTCGGTTCCACCAGAAGGGAAGGGCGGATTCCTCTTGATCAGCTGTCGATTGGCTTTACCGGAAGATTCATGCTGACGCTGTTTCCAAG